TCTTTCTGTTCTGTGAGTATCCCTTTAACTACCTGTGCATGCTAATTATTTTAATACTGTGTAGTGATTATCGTAAGTCCCGTTATTTAGTTTGCCTGAGGACAAGCAAAAGCTTAAGTGTGGAAGAATCTGATAAGTCCGTATTTAGACACGCATTTGATGCGTGTTGGGATCGACTTGTGATTCTTTTCCTAGCTTTAAGGTGTTACAAGTCTCAATTTTAGCTCAAGTTATGTTACCAGGCGTTGGTTCGAGTTTTATGTCTTTTGGAGTCAAAATCAGGGAATTTGAGCCTAGCATCGGCGCTTGAGAAGCAATCGGGACTATTTGAGAAGCATTCGAGAGTGAATTGAGAGATTTGGAGGTCACCGGGAGGTTCACAATGAAGATTTGATGACAAAAAAGCTCTAGGATTGGCTACGAGATCAAAAGAAGATGAATAGAGCTTGAAAACAACGATCAGGATGACCTTGTGTCAATCGTTCAAGCACATCTCTTTGTAGAAGAATCCAAAGGACACGCTTCAAGTCCCATATGAAAGACAACGTCAAGTGCTACAAATTATATGAAGACACCATTGCGAGAATCTGAGAGGAAAAAGGTGGAAACAAACGATGAAGTCAGATGATCCCTATTGCGATTTCAGAATGAGAACTTCCACCATTTTATTCATATCTCTTGATTGGATGACTCACATCCAATTCGGCAAAATGTGGTAGATAGATGACTTCATTATATACAACTTTCATGAAGGAAGTTTTGTCAAATTCGGAATAGAGAAGTCGGAAAACTCACTGACAACCACGCACGCGTGCGTGGGGGGGGGGGGGGGGGACGCACACGTGCGTCCAACGTTTTTACGCACAAGTCTTTCAGACGCACGGCCATCACGCACGCGTGCGTGGGCGCCGTGTGTGCCCCGTTTCAGTCCTAATTCAACCCAAATTACTCCGTTTTTCCTATTTAAACAGCTTGTAAACCCCTGTTTTGAGGGGGGAGCTTGGAGAGAGTGTCTAACACGAAATTTAGAGAGCTTTTCAACCTTGTTCATCAATCTTTTGGGATTCTTGGTAAGTTCCATCTTTTTAATTAATGACAATTAATTCTATTCAGCCCAATTCTGTTGATTCTTCAATTATGAATTGTGAGTAGTTTAATTAGGGATTTGGGATTGATGAAGGGGTTAATAATGATGTATGGCTAGATTCTTGATGGATTAATTGCTTGAATGCCGTTTAATTTGTGTTTGAATAATTTAACTGATATCTCTTGTAAACTAGAATGCGCGCTAGATTTACAATTGTTTGTAGAATAAGTAAAGAGAGATCTAATTTATTCTAAGACACATTCACACACACTTAATCGCTCGCTAAGAGATTAGTAGCGATTAAGGGGCCGTAAGCTCGCTCGTCTTGGCAATAATTTAGGATCCTGTCGCATGAGAGATCAACTTGGTCCCCTAAATTATTGTACTCTACGCCGTGAGAGCGGTAAGAACTTAGTAATGACTAGCTAGACTCAATTAAATCAATTTCATGTAATTAGACCTGATCTGCCAGAAATCTGGTTACCACGGAATCAATCCATATTCCCTTCGTCGTTAATTAGAAAGAACCCCTTAGCTTTAGTATTCGTTTAATTGCAAGTTAATTTTCCAATCAATCAAATCTCGCACAATTTATTTTATTTTATTTATTTTTAATCGTTGAATTTAATTGATTCTTGATTCCCTTTTGTCCGTCCATGTGGAGACAATACTCGTACTTACACCACTATATTACAATCTTTTTAAGTGCGAGAAAACTCACATCAATAGGATTATCACTTTGTCAAATGGTGTTTGGTTAAATAACTGTTAACAATCAGTTGATAACATGTTAAATGATTTTTAAGGACATTAATTAATTTTTTATTGATGTAATTAGTTCGACTACTAAATTGTTTTTATGATTTAAAAACTAAAAAAGAATCAACAAAAGTACTACGTAATAAATATTTTAAACATTTTTTCATGAACTATTAAATTTATTCAAGAATAATGATTGATGGATTATAGGAATCCAAACATACTTCCTCCGTCCCTAAATGTTTGTCCTACTTTGACTTCACAAGTTTTAAGGAAATGAATTTGACTTTACACTGTAGCGACACTGTTTGACACTGTTTTGCACTGGTTGACACTGTTTGGTATACATTTGTTTACCAAATAAGAAAGTTGAAAAAGTAGGACAAACATTTTGGAACATCCATTTTGGGAAAGTAAGACAAACATTTAGGGACGGAGGTAGTATATAATTAGGGAGAGATTGAGCTAAGAAGATGATGAATAGTAATGTGTATGAATATGGAATTGAGAATTAGGTTTACAATAGCTCCCTTTGGGAGTATAAATAGAGAAATAATGGGTCGGGCCGCTAATATGGGTCCGATGGGCCCAACTACATAAAAGACTAATCTAGTACATACAAATGATATATGAACTGTACAATAATATAAATAATATCAATGAAGCGTGTGTGGGCCGCTGTCCAAGCTCAATAGTCGTGAGACCCCGGGGTCTGGGTCTGCATACTCTATCAGGAGTCCCCCACTCCCTGAGTCGAGAGTACTCAAGGCGAAAGGGAGTAGAGCTGTGTGCTGATTTGTCGTCGTCTGGTGAGTAAACTTCGTGAAATTTTTTGAATTTGTGCTTCTTCGATTAACGGAGGCGCTAAGTCCCCCGCTCTTCCAGTCCCCCACTCCTTGAGGTGAACGTAGTGAGGTGAAGAGGAGTAGAGTAATGCGTGCCTTCAATAGGGGGCCAAGGGTCGACACCTTTTATCCACGTTGGGGAGATGTCTCGTTAAAAACCTCATTAGGAAAACCCCAGTGGGAAAAAATCCTAATGAGGGAAAAAGAGTACACTTGATAGGCCTTTGAATAGTCTTGCACGTATTGATATCCGCAACTGACGTTAGGTCTAAAGGAGAAGATAAGGCAGTTCTTCAGTCCTGTTACCATGCCACCGGAAATGGAAAGGATCTTGATGTTAGCTCGGAGTATTTCGTCCAGAGGCTAGTAGACTTCTCTATCGGCTATGGCGAGCAAACCCGACAGATTCGTACGGTGGACGGCGCGGTGATGGGGGGTGGAGCTCGTCTTGGGCGTCTTTGACCTACGGGTTCTTGAGTCATGTCGATCGCAGCAGTTCCGGTCCTCAGCAGCAATGGGCCACGCTCTCTTCACGTTGGCTTATGGTTCGAGAGCGGAGCTTCCCAGCGGCCATTAATGGCGGAAGCTCATAAAGCTCGAGGTCGAGCTGCGAGAGGCGATGTAATAGGAGGAGGAGACCTGGAACGGCGCAGCGAACTCCAGCTGACACAGTGAGGTGAGCGTGCTTCGCAAATCACAGCATCCATGAATGCTCTGGTTGACTGACGCTCCAGGACTCAGTTCGCACCAGAAAAGCTCCATAGCTTGGTTCAGTTTGCAAGACCAGCTCCCTGTGACTTGACTGGACCTAGAGTAGTGGATCCAGGAACTTTCGAAGTCCTTCTTCCTCACCTGGGGCTGGCGGAGAACGAACGGTGCACGATGGGGGCTTGCACCGCGATGGCAGTTCCGACAGATTTTTCAATGTCCAGGCTGATTTTCAGATATTTTTGTATTTGGGATGAATTTTTGTATTTTTGCAGAGGAATCTAACTTGATTTTTGCTCAAACACTCAATGAAAGCACCATTGATGGATTATAGGAATCCAAACATATATAATTAGGGAGAGATTGAGCTAAGAAGATGATGAATAGTAATGTGTATGAATATGGAATTGAGAGTTAGGTTTACAAGAGCTCCCTTTGGGTGTATAAATAGAGAAATGATGGTTTGGGCCGTTAATATGGGCTCGATAGGCTCAACTGCATAAAAGATTAATCTAGTACATACAAATGATATATGAACTTTACAATAATATAAATGATATCGATGAAGCATGTGTGGGCCGCTGTCCAGGGTCAATAGTCGTGAGACCCCGGAGTCTGAGTATATATACTCTATCAATGATATTTTGATCAATTAGGCTAGCCATATTCTAAATCTCTACATCTTTAATTAGTAACCCACTCATCAATTAAATGGACATGGAAAACATTCCTTATGGACAAATATTGTATTTCTTCCATTTCAAACAAGTAATTAGAGAATACAATTAAATGTGACTAAAATATCAAAATGCTTCAAGCTAGTCTTGAACCCCTAGTCTTTTACAATTAACTGAAAACCAAATTTTCTTTTCCCTTCCTCTCATCTCAATTGTCTTTCATCTCCTCCATGAATATATGCTCTGATTTCGCTGTCAACTTCTGACGAAAGAGGAGCAAAAGATTACACATATATTTGCAAATCAGAGATTACAAATAGCTAACCTTGCTACCGTTGTTGATTTTTTGCTCTACGGACTACGGTGGAAGCTGGTATGGGTTGGCGGATCTCTCTCTTAATTTTTAGGCAAAGTATGAGCAAATACGGAGATATGTGTGGGTAGTATGGGGAAGATGCAGAAAAGCCACTAGTAAAAGCTACAAATGATGGCGTTTGAGATTTTGGCTGTTTGAGACAAAATGTCAATAAAAACGTCATTTAACCAAACATTTTTATTATCTGATTGATTTGGTCAAAATGCTAAATATACTTGAATGAACCAAAAAATGGCTGAGAGACTCATTACTAAGACTTCAACGTCCACACCTTCGTCATCTTCCCTTGAAGTCATCGCTACTTCAATAGCGATCGGAGATGGCGAATTTCCATCGTCACCCACGTCATGAAGCTTGTCACCTTCATCTCCCCATGTCAAGTCATCCAAAAGAACCTCATCACTAAACTCGGTGACTTCCTTCCCCATGATATCCATCCAAGAAGATGAAAGAAAGAAGAAGTTGAAAGAATGAGTTGAACAATGTAGCAATTTAGAAGGAGGGAGGGGGGTTTTGGCGGAAAGTTGAGGAGTGGGTGGGGAGATGTGAGAGAGGTGAGTGAAAGTTATTTTTGGAAAGGGGTAAAAAGGATGTTAAAAAATGGAGTATTTATATGAGGTAAGCATGAGGTATCTGCAGAATTCGGGATGATTTGTGGACCTGTTTCAAAATTCGGTATCTTATCCCGATTTCTCACTTCCCAAATCGTTCCCATAAAACACCGGAATTCACAGTTCCAACCTCGCATACACACCACCGCACCGAAGTACTTCTCTACGGTTGTCCGTGGCGGAGCTAGCTTCTCAATCATGGGAAGAGGCGGCGATGATGACTCAAAAGTTGTTCAGTTCCAGCTCACTCCTTCAACTTTGCTCAAGATTCTTAAGGGTGACATCACTAAGTGGTCCGTCGATGGATCCTCCGACGCCATCGTAAGTCGTAACGCATCTCTGTCTTTCTAATGTTATCCACACATATGACATATGCAAATGTTTACTGATTCTTAACGTTTCAAACGTCAAGGTGTTATTTCCCCCCGAATTTATATGATTTATTTTTTCTTCAAAACAATTTATTGTTGTATGTTTGATTCTAGACAGAGCTATGTGAATAGGAAAAGAAAAAGGACGCTTAAAGTTATTGTCTTGTGTTTGGTTGATTCTTAGAAATGACAAAGAAAATAAAACATGATCAGTTTCTAAGTTGCTTGTACATATGTTTAAATATCTTAATCTCGTTTGGTTGCAACTTTGACAATTGTGCTAGAAAAAGTTATTTTATCAGGTTACCTTTTCCCCTATAAAATGTAAAGAAAATATAGTATAATTATTTTTAATTTCTTTTAGTGCACATTTGGATTTCTCATTATTTATATACTACCTCTGTCCGACTGTCCCATGAGAAGATGATGCGTTTATTAAGAAATTTCAGTTTAGGTGTTTCATATTGAATTGGTAAGTATGAATGAAGAACTATTTAGATCCGCACAAATATTATCATATTCGTTATGGGACAAACTTTTTGGGATTTGGGAAGGGGAAAAAAAAGATGCTATAAAGATAGTGGGACAGAGTGAGTAATAGATACGTAGTATATGAATAAATAAAATGACTATATACAAATATATACTGAGTTAAAGTACATTTTTATTTTTCTCCATATTTTCTTTCCTATATCTTTCTGGTGCTTCCAACCATCCCTTTAAGAAACCAAACCTGTTGGAATGGGGGATAGTAGTAGACTTTAAGGCTTAACAAGAATATTAATTCATTTAACAAGAATATGAATTCAGTTCTTTATATTCTCATTGTCTGTATGTATTAGTTTTGTGTAACCTTTAAGTTTATAAATTTGTATTGTCTTTGTCTTCTTAAAGGTAAATCCTGCAAATGAGCAAATGCTTGGGGGTTATGGAGCTGATGGAGGTAGATTTAGACTGTAATGTATCAGTTTCTTATACTAATTAGTCCGTACTAAATAAATATTTGTTGCATGACATAGCAATACATAAAGCTGCTGGTCCTGAACTAAGAGAAGCATGCTTTAAAGTCCCAGAAGTTAGTCCAACAATTCGTTGCCCCACTGGTGAAGCCAGAATTACACCGTATGCTGTTTATCAACCTTAGGTTTTCATTTCATATGAAAAGCAATTGCTATACTGACCAAGCATTGTTTCGATGTCTATGTGTATGTCTGTATGTATATGTACTGAATATATATATGGCATGCTTTGGCTTAAAATGCAGAGGATTTAAGTTACCGGCTTCTCATGTGATTCATACTGTGGGACCCATACATTTTAGACACCCTGATCCTAAAACTGCATTGGAAAGTTCATATAGGTACTGGTTTAACTTTTCATTTTGTAGTTCAAGTGATCACAGCACTGTTTCCCCCACAAATTAAGGTTCTGTATGACTGTATGGATCCCGGATAATATTAGGGAAGGAATGTAAGGATGAAATAAGAGAGGAAAAGTGTAAGGAAAGGAATATTGGGGGGAAATTCAAGATACTCCTTATGTTCGTTCCACTTTTTATAAGGACTTTATTTTCCCCCAAATACTTTGTGAAAATACCACCTTTTATCAAAAATATATACTCCGTATATTTCTTGGAGTACCACTCAAACTCAATTTTATATTTTTCATAATTCCTTAAACATATTTTATTTGGTTATTTATATGTATAAAGAGCGGCACTGGGGTAATCATGATGAATGATGATGATTTATATTTATAAAGACAATAATTTGTTCATTTTACTTTGTATTTTCCAAGGTAAATCTATACATAAGAGAATAATTTTCCTTAACTGAATTTTTTCTTCCCGCTTAACTGATTTTTTTTATCTATGTCCTATTGGTTCAGGAACTGCTTACGTGTTGCTAAAGAAAATGACATCCAGTATATTGCCTTTACTGCTATATCATGTGGAGTCTATGGGTGAGTTTTTACCAATCTACAGAATATTTGAACTTCAAAACCTGTCTCTGTTTAGTACAAGTTTATTGTGTTTCTCTTATCCCTTGTTATGAATCAAAGTAGTTTGTGATACTCCATTGAGATTGTCAAAAGCTTAAATTGTATTTATGTAACCCTTCTTGAATGAAAGTTCTAGAGTAGTTTTATCAAATCGTGGTGTCATTTTAATTTGCCCATCTTTCCAAGCCTGAGTTGGATTCGTTTGTATTGTAGATCCAAAAGTACTACTCATATACTTCGTACATAGTATTAAGATTTGAGGTTTCATCTAGAAATTGCACAAATAGTTGTTCACTGTATACTCTCTTTTTTTTATTTATTAGTATCCAATTTGTGTCCCACAAATTAATCTAGGTATCCGTTTGATGAGGCTGCAAATGTGGCTGTATCTACCGTTAAAGAACACGGAGGTGGTCTCAAAGAGGTATTATTTATAAGATATACCCCCATCTATCCCCAGGAAATGCAATATGAGCCCGTCAGAAAATCTTTTACTACTTCCATTTGTGAAAAACCATTTTTAATACTAAAATCAGTATTACAAATATGACACCTTTTAATCAGAAGACCAAATAGTTTGCTTCTATTTGCAGGTTCACTTTGTTTTGTTCTCAGATGAAATCTATGATGCTTGGTTGAAGGCAGCAGATGAGCTTCTTCAGAACTGACATTTTCAGTTGTTCTAACTTCTCTCTAGAACCACTTGGATTGGGTTCTGGATATATGAACTTGAAGAAGGGTTGTGTTATCACTGTCAGACATCAAGAAGATAGGTTGAACTTCATATCAGTTTTAGTTTGAAGTTGCTTATCAAAAACACTGTTTTCATTCTTGTATATGATTCCTAGTATGGATTCATTTCTAAAGCTGTATTGGAGGTCATTTGGAGGTCGCCTTTTGTCTTGATAAAATGCCATCATATGCTTGTATTGTTAAGGGTTCATTTAATAATGTTTCATGCTTTTCTGTTTTAGGATTTTTTTTTACCTCGATGAATGAATAAAAAAAATTAGGTCTACTTTTGTTAATGGCCTTGCACTCCGTGAGATTTATCCATGAAAGGCCTTGATTAGGCATTGTCTGGAGTCTTTTTTCGCATCTTTATTTATCAAATTTTATTTGGGCCTCGTGTACTGTTTCATTTGGCTTGGTAGTTAAATTTAATAAATGGACAATGTGTAAAAAAAACTACGGAGTATAAATTATAATAAAACGTCTTGGAAATTGGAATAGTTTGTAAACGAAATGATGTTTTTGTGTTTGATATGTTGCATTTGATGTTCTTTTTTACTAAATCTAAAATTCAATGATTTACATTTAAAGTGTAACGTAATCATGGGTAAAGAGGGATTGAGTTCATGGCACAGTACGACAATGCAACTTTGAATAGCTTCAAATATACTCCAAACTCCAAAGTAAACAAAACTTAAGTTCATGAAAATCCCACGATCAACAACTATGCTTCAACAGCATCACTGTCCTTATAGCACTATAGCAGCAGAGCAAGAAGCCAAGAACCCCACTTTTTTGGGTTATGGTAAGGGGTCCATAATAAGCATGTCGCTAATTTCATAACTTGTCTTCAGCCCCAAAGAAGTATATAAAAATCAAATGCATATAAGTTGAGTGGTAACCTACATGGTTCTGTACATTTTTTTGTAAGTTCAAAATTCAAATATCTTTGTCCTTGGCCATATTCTGAGGCAATCTGCTAAGACTCTCATCCACGACTTTATACTGTCTAGAAAAGTGTCCATCTATGTGATCTTCAAATCTATTGTACAGAGCGGGGAAGACAATGAATATGATGCTTCCTGAAATAATTCGAAGTATTTATGAAAAAACCAATCATGTGGTATCGAATAAAATAAGAAGAAATAGAAATCCTCAAGGAATTACAAGGGGCAGAAAAATACCGCCTGAGATAATCAGTGAGACAATAGGGTCCCGTTTAGCAGATTCTCAGCCAAATGACTCTTTCCAAACGGGCCCCAAGTATAAAAGGGTGAGTAACAGAGAAAGCATCCACATATACCTATATACGCAATCGTGAAGAAAGATACCATAGTGCCTACAGCAGACAGAAGCCAGAGAAAAATCACTGCCTGCATATTACAGAAATTTTGAAGGAGTAGTTCAAAGTTGGTTTGGAAACTAAGGTAGCATCACTCATCAATCAAACAAATAAAACGCAGATTAATGATCCATTTGGCATCGTTATTTGTCTTATTTGCTTATCAACAGAACTATTAGCTTTTGGCTTATTTGGTAAGAATGAATTCCTATCAGAAAAATCAGCCATTTGAGTTACAAAATGCCTTTAAGAAAATTCAGTCATTTAAGCCAAATATGTAGTATAACATTTACCAAATAGGCCACAAGATAATAGTCACAGCAGACAGGAAATCACACATAATATACGGCGAGTAGCAATTTTCCCTCATCTAAAATAAAACCCTTAGCAAGCAGGTCCCAATACATTGAAATTATTCACCCCACACAGAATCATATGATTTACTGTGAGAATAACTTTTTCTTCATTAGATATAAAATCCCTCACTAAACAAGCCCTACTTAATATAAATTATTTGTGGCAGACAGAAGCACACGTGTCAGATGGTGAGTAGAACAATTGCCCAGTTCTATACGTAGTATATTTATATACAGAGTGTGTGTGTGTGTGTGTATAAGATTGCAGACCTTGAAAAAGAGTATGAAATCTTTCCCTAGAGTGATATCATGAGCCATAAGCAACATATAGTTGACTTTGGCACGAAATGAAGCAGCAGCGTTGTTGACCATTTCTTCTGTCAACACTAATTCAGGCAATGTTTGGAGTTGTCTGTGAAATTTAACATGGGAAAATCTCATTTTTTTTCACAAATAATGATATTAAAATGGCTTAACATCAAACATGCAGATGTTAATAAAGAGTGGTCATACTTCTTTCTGAAGGCAGCAAAATTTGCACGGAGGAAGAGGAGTATGGTCAAGATGAGAAAGACATCAGAACAGAGTGATAAGAATGGTAACCCTGAGTGTTCAAACAACACCCAAGCAACAGTAGCAACAACAATCATGCCAAACAAGGTACGCAACTGCCTCCATGTAGCTACTTCTGCATCTTTATATATATTGAGAGATCATCATCAATTACTATATTCAAAAAATTAAAATTAAAAAAAGTGAATAAACATTCTCCATGTACAAGGCAATGTGCTGGCTTCGCTAAAAGCCTAAAATTGTGGTTAAGTGTGTTGAATAAGTACTCCATAACATCTTGAAGATGGGAGGTAGATGATCATTTATCTTCTTTTCAACCAAAAGAGTACTGTGTACCTTCTTCAATACTCAAAACTAATAGCGGTTCAAACAAATGCAGTCAAACAAGTTTGCATTTAGAAAAAATGTTTACAAAGGCTTGAAAAAGAGCATCAGAGAACATGCACAGATATCACTTAATGCTACATCATTCACCAGAACGCATAAACAACATTACAATACGGAGTATTACATAACAAGGGTAATGATGCTCATCCTTACCCCCACCCCTGCTCCATCCTCCATTCCTACCCCCTCCCAAAGCTCATTGAGCCAATAAAATTCCATGCCCTGTCTCTAAGGGTCCATATAGAACGGGAGAGTCTGGAGGAAATGTGGAGAGATTAATTTGGAACAAAAAATTTGTTCCAAACTTAGTTTATTTGTACATTTCAATTAAGCAAAGACTGCAATATAGAACAAACATTGAAAAAGATGTTTTTCCTTAAATATTACTGATAGAAGAGTTATTGACATAATGTGGCTAAAGTTAGTATGAGTACGCGTCACTATCACTACACCAAAAAATTGAACATAATCATGGGCACTCAAGTAACTATTATTGTCACTAAAGTATAAAAGTCACAGTTTTGTCCAATGACTTCATTATAGTCATATATTTGTCATTATTTCTTACAAAACACATTTTTCATTAACATTTTTTCATAACACGTAGCCCAAGAAAACTTCTCAGCTCAAAGAGGCTTTCCCATCACCAGAAAAAGTTGATCAACATAATTCATCTAATTTCATTCAAGCAGTAATCTACTATGACAAGGGTGAACAGTTGAGTCTGCAATCTGCATATATAACACAGTCTTCTATTAATATAAGAAGTACTCCGTATGAGTTTAAAAAAAAGTTAGAGACTGCTTAGATAGCACAGGCCATCAATGTAAGAGTTTTTTAACAAATAAATGCAAATTCATGTAGAATCGGGAGTAACATAAAAAGGGAGCTAGCCTCATTAACTATACCACGACCAGCCATGAGCTGATATGGGGATTGCCGGCCGATTGCGAGAGAAGAGCTCGCCCCAGGCGCCGTTGACGTCGACGGAACGCCGCTAGCAGTGCTGATATTCGCTCTGCAATCTCCATCTCCCAAGTTGTTACATAGATCTTCAGAGCTCTCCATCTAAGTTGCACTGCCGAAAATTAGCCGTCAAAATTCATATAAATTGAAGAATGCACAGACCCGACGAATGGTGAAAGATCAAATTTCTCCTCTCGTGAAGTCAAGGAAAAATGAAAAAAGCAATGATACCTTGGCCGGTTGGCCCTGAAGGCAAGCTGCAAATGAATTATGCCTTTGACGCGACTAGTGGTTAAGGGTGCACTGGGCCGGGCCGAACTGGCCCGTGAACCGGACCGGCCCACTACTGTGCGGGCCTGGACCGGACCGGGACCGGGACCGGATGGCCGGTTCCGGGCTTTAGCCCGGGTTGGGCGGGCCGAGCTCGGGCCCTGTTTTTCTTGAACCGGCCCGGGCAGTCCGGGCCGGGCCCGGTTCATTTTTTTTTTTCAATTTTTTTTTCTTTTTCTAGGGTAGGGCTGGGTGTTTTGGGGAGGTTTGAGGGGTGGGTGAAGGGGGGTAGGGGGTTAATTAGAAAGCAAAAAAAATTATACATTGGGTCGGGCCGGCCCGGCCCGGTCCGGTTTGGCTCGGACTTGATATCAACCCGGGTCGGTTACGGGCCCAACTTCTGGGAAAAAAAATCCGGCTTGAACTGACCCGGAGCCCGGCCTGGCCCGAGCCCGGTTCATGCCTACTCGTGGTCGTTAAATCGAATAGTTGTTACAGAATATATAATATTCGAATATCTGAAAATAAATAGGGAATGTTAAAACAATCCTCCAAATTAACAATATTAACAAGTCATCTTTGCGGTACGGTACGAACTGAATATCATTCTATACAAGGCGTCTTGAATACCATTCACACATAGTACATCCATAAATCAACATAATGTAAAATATTCATTTAAAGAAGCGGAAACATTAATACAAGTGTTCAAGTCACACTTGACATAATTAGGCATATAAGTCCCCAAATAATTATTCAGAAAATAATATCCATGAGCATTAATGTAATTGTTTTGAAAACAGAAACAGAGGAAGCACGAACCACGTCTTCACTCCTGGATCCTCCCTCGAAGCAACGAGTATTGGTAGCAAACTCAACTTCTACCTGAAACTGTGAGGTGACCTCCCCGTGAAGGGGAGGTCAGTACTTTGAAGCATTTGAAACGTACAATGACAACTACACTGAATATAATCAATGTTTTAATTTCTAATACCCTTATAATAGGGTGATATCATAATATAATTAATAATTTATATTTTCCCCTTATTATCTTTATAATAAGTTGATTCATTAATTGGTCGTCACACGCCCCCCTTCTTATTATTCCATTTCATTCATCGTTTCCATGACACAACCCGTAGGTCTTATTATTTCTACAGGACTTGCTACCGCTGTCCAAGGCTTCATAAAGTCATCGGTTCAGATTCCAACATCCCGCCCCTGGACTCATACCCATCATCACGTAGGAAGGTAAGGCCCTTCCGGGTCATCTCTTATGTCTTACCGCTGGCTGAGCCTAGTTAGGTCTCCGATTCGGATTCCACCTTAACCCGTGATCACGTTGCAAGTCCATGCTATCCAACCCCGCTCTCTAGAGTCGGGAAGGGTCATGGTCCTTAATTTCCTTACTTATTACCATAATTTAACCGGCTATCCTCAAAGACTACCGAACACACCCGTAGGCCAATCCTATATCTAGGATCAATTTATTATTCAATTTATCTTGGGTATCCCTTAAGGCCTACCCCTAGTATAACTTAAAGTTCATACCTTCCTACCTTAAAGCATCTCTTAAGACTACTTAAGGCATAACATTTCACAATTCAACTCTAGGATCAATTCTAGCAATATTTCACTTTAGCGCCCGACTAGTATATTAATACTAATCGGACTAATTCCAACAATTCAAGTTCTCCGTTCATAATCATATAGACAATTCCAAACTGATTTTCCATTGAAAGTATCATTTATATCAATATACAGAATATCACTTTTAATCACTCATATATTCTTATATGAAGTAAAAAGTATATTTCAACATAAGTTTCATAGTTAATTCCACTATCAAGTCAACATACTCATAACACATGATCATACACAATTTACTATTAAATTTGTATATCATGCTCCTTTCCTTATATACAATAGTCTCCTCATTTTTAGGCATTATTAACCAATAATAATCCATAAAAATATATTTAATTACCTTAGATAATCTCATGAAATTAACTCATTAATTATAAGCAATATAGTCAGTCATCATCACCTTATGATGTGCTCAACTAGTTGCCTTAGCGAAACACCTCGATCCGTCCTCGTTTCAGACCGTTCAAGAGTTAAAATCTGGACAGCAGGTGAAAGCCGGGCGGCTTTCGTGAAAGCCGGACGGAGTTCGTGGCCTGCAGTTACGGGCAGCCTGTTTTTCTTGGCGGTTTCCGACGATTTCGACTCCTATCGATTCACCAACTCTTCTAAGTTAAATACCGGCACTTTATAACAATATTCTACACTTTTAAACGTGTAGAACTCATGATTTAATTCACCATATGATTTCTTAAAAATCATACAACATAAAATTAGTTAAAAGAATAATAGTGGAGTTCTTACCTTGAACTCAAACTATTTTTTGTGGATTTTCCCTAGCCTCCTCCTTCCTCCAACTAAGTCTTTGAGAGCTTTTGTTTTCCTTGCTCTCCTTGCTTGTTCTGGCCGAGTGTCACAATGCTAGGGGGAAGCATCTTCTCTCAATCAATTAGTAAAGAGGAAAAAAGTATGACATGGGGGCATGGGTTTTTGTCTCAATGAGACTTCTCATTTCCATCATATTCACTAACCATTGTTGGTTGTCCCCTTTCCCTATTATTTGAGTCAAATTAGTGTGTAGGATATCCCAAGTGGGTGTAGGAAGGCCTTACCAATTATTTCTGCTATTTGTAGCAGGTTGGTTCAAAATAGCACTTGGGTTGTTCAAATATTTTTCTCAACCTCGGTTGGCATTTTATTGGGCTTCTATAATTATTATGATGACTCAACTAATTATTTGGTAGCCCATTCTCAATATAATGGACTCGATAAATAATTTAATTAATCACGCATTAATTAAATATACCAATCTGTTACACAATTTTTATTCGATAGAAAATTCATATACATATCGAATTTCAAATTCATTTACATCCGGGAGCGATGTCACATATTTTATCTCATACCATTATTGTACTGAAAATTTTCGGTGTGTAAAAATACATATTGCTACTTGCTGAAATTTTGAAATATCGTGGTTCGTATATATGAAAATTACGGTACATTAAAGATACAGTAAATGTACGATATTGATAAAATATTACTCTCTCCGTTCCTCTATAATCTCATTTTTTCATTTTTGGATGTCCTCCTATATTGTCTCATACCATATTTGATAACATTTGTGTGCCTCTAATTCATTCTTACTTTATTCTCACTTTATCAATTCATTATCAACTACATAATTCTACTTTTGTTAAAATCACACCACTCTCTTCCGTCCCAATTTAGGGGACGGAGGTAGTATGTTATACTTGAACTTTAGTATGATGTAAACAAATAAAATATACAAAATCGATTTTAGTAGTGATATACTAAAATCATTAATAAGCTTAATTACAAAATACCAACAATTACTTATGTCTTATTCAATTTTGAATAAGAATATACTCCCTCCGTCCCGTTGGAATGTTCCCGCTTTCTTTTTTTGGATGTCCCGTTGGAAAGTTCCCATTTTCCTAAATGGAAAGTTATCCTACATCAAAACAGGGTCAAACAGTGCAAAACAGTGTCAAGCAGTGTCGAAACAGTGCCTAACAGTGTTGAAACAGTGTCAAAACAGTAAAATTTACCCCCTGGTAAGTTTATTTCCTTAATATGTGTGTAGGTCAAACCGGGAACATTCCAACGGGGCGGAGGGAGTAATTGTTATAAAAACTCCATATGTTTCAACATTTCAACATTAAAATAATTAAAAAAAACATAAATCTCTCTCTATACAAACCACTGTAAAAAATCATACAGTTTCCCCGCCCAAAGAATGTGGGTCAACAATACGGGTCGGATCGGGCATGTAGATGATGACAGACTATTTCAAAGCAACCTCAGGTCTTATCGCAGAGCAATTAATGTGTAGTACAAAAAAATAGCACGTAGGTTCGGCGCTCCACAAATAGCATTAAATGCAAAGTACAAAACAATTTTTCTACCGTGAACGATTAATTAAAAGGGGTTTTGTGCATGATTAATTAGAACACAGGGAGGTTTGACGCATTTTTTAAATCACGGGGCTAATGCGCTAAATTTCCATATCACATGGAGATTTGGTGCATAAAACCCGGTACTAGTTGGATGATATTACACACCCCTCTACTACTCAACTCTCACTAAGGATGGCAATGGGGGCGGGGCCCCATGGGGAACCGCCCCGTGGGGGAAGTTGGGGCGGTTGGTGGGGTGGGGTGGGGCGGGTATGGGGATGGGGGAATTATTTCCTCCCCGCTTAAATATGGGGCGGGTGATGGGTTATGCACCCCCCGCCCCGTCCCCGCCCCGTCCCCCGTATATATATACACATATTAATAATTAATAATAATCACAATAATAATACTAAAAATAATAAGGGTCTTTTACAAAAATATTACTAAAATAAAATATGTTTTACAGAAATATGACTATTAGTTACTACAATGTAGTGTAATAGTAACCTAATTTTAAAAATTAAACATAAGTTACTATAATTTTATTACTATTCTAGTCACTAGTCACATTTTGTAAACAGTATTCATTTTAGTCATAAATATGTGATTACTAATATGAAGTAATTAAAATAGTACGGTGACCCGGTGGGTTTAGTTGTTTCCTATCTAATGGGTTGTGCCTAATGGGTCTATCTAATTCTTGTTTAATAACTCAGTTATCTTATAAATTTGGTTATCAAAATCATATAAAGTAAATTGAATTTGGGAATGTTATAAAGTGATATTAGCTTAAACGTCTCAGGCACAGTGTGAATGTTTTCTTCTTTTACTATCATAGTGCATTAATTCTTTTCTTATGAATATCATCTTTATGATTGTAGTTGGGGCTCTTAAAAACTGGTGATCATAGGTCATCCTACATGCTGTCAAATGACCATGGTTGATTGAAGAAGGGCTTAAGAAAATATTAGAGCTAATCAATG